TCACCCCCATGTTGTACCAACCCTGTAAGAGCTTCGTTCATATTCGGAACACAAATGAAGATATTTTTGATTAAATTTGAGAGCTGTATCACTACCACATAGACACCCTAAGGGATCGAAACTTGACGGCCCAGAAAGTCAATGAAGAAAATGTTTAAATATTCCATGTGAATATTTACAGTGGCTCAACTATAAGTTTATCAAGCGACGAGAATAGTTTTTGTGCGTAAAAAACAACAAAAATAATGACTTCATTCGACAATTCCTTTTCTTCCTTGTAGGCCTGAGACGAGAGTTCAAGAGATTTCCACGACACAAGCGCGAGAACTGAACAAGTAGTAGAGTTAGATCGCAGTTCTCGTGCATGCGTCGTGGAAATCTCTGTGGAATGTTGTCGTGGAATGCGTCTGTGGAAAATTTTTTGTTTGTTTCTTTCGCACAAAAACTATTCTCGTCGCTTGATAAACTTATAGTTGAGCCACTGTAGTCACATGGGATATTTACATGGGACATTTTCTGCAATGACTTTCTGGGCCGTCAAGTTTCAATTCCTTAGCGTGCCATGTGGTAGTGATAGAGCTGTCAAATTTAATAAAAAATATCTTTATTTGTGTTCCAAAGATGAACGAAGCTCTTACAGGGTTGGTACAGCATGGGGGTGAGTAATTAATGACTTAATTTTTATTTTTGGGTGAACTAACCCTTTAAGGGATACAATTATTGACTACAGGGGGACTTTAATTAGAACATACTAATATAACATCAGCTATGATAGCAATAAATCATTAAATGATTCTTCTGTAATGTTTGGCAGGGCTCTGCAGTGCAAGCATTACCCTCTCTTGTGCAAGTGAAACATCACTTTGCCGCAAAGAGCAAGTGGCATCTGACCAATAAATTATGTGCCTCACAAATTATATATTAATAACTTTAATACGACATCAACAAACAATTTCACATGCACATTAATGCTTAACATATCATTAATTAAAACACATTCAGATAGTTAATGTCAAACGTTTGATCTTATTCATTCATATTTGAATGTTCAAAGACTACTGATCTGTTCATGTTTTTTTTTTATGAAAGTCATTATAGTTCTTCCTTTGTATGTTTTTTTTAGACTACTTCTCTGCCCCACTTTCTTTCACCCCATGCACATCAGAAGCCAGATGGTGTTGGATTGGGAGATGTAGGTTTACACTGTATTGGTGAAATGGTGTGATGGTGTACGTTGTTGTAAATTGTACACTCGAGCAACATTTTTTGCTTTTTTGACAGGAATTTTGCTACACCATTTCACTGCTATTTTCTAAACTGCTAACGTGCAAAGTACAAACTAAGAAGTAATAAATGAGTAAGAAGAGTTGCAAGGATTTAAAACTCAGTCCTAGTGTTGTCATGTTTTAGAACCAAAGATCTGTGATGTCATATCAATACATAGAGAGCCTAAGTCCCACCCCTCCGCTTCCGGCTCGTGGGACCTTATTTCGTAAAAAATATGTGTGGAGAAATTTAGTAGATAACACGTACAACACGTGATAACACGTCAGCTGCGTCATTGGAATCGTGAACGAGCAAAGACAACAGAACCGGAAGAGAATACAATGCTGAATAAAGTCGTTGTTTTTGCTATGTTTGGACCAAAAAGTATTTTCGATGCTTCATAAAATTCGAACTAACCCACTCATGTCACATAGACTACTTTAATGATGTCTGTATTGCCTTTATGGACAAGGACAGTATAAGGTACATACATTTTCAATGGAGTTCTCGGATTAAATCTAAAATATCTTAAACTGTGTTCCGAAGATGAACAGAGGTCTTACGGGCTTGGAACGACATGAGGGTGAGTCATTAACGACATAATTTTCATTTTAGGTGAACTAACCCTTTAAAGGGCACCTATTATGGAAAATTCACTTTTACATGGTGTTTGAACATATGTGTGTTGGCAGTGTGTGAGCAAAACCACCCTAGAATGATAAAAATACACCCAGTGTTTTTTTTACAATCTCAATAAATCATATGCACTGTCTCAGAACGAGCTGTTCTGAGATTCAGCTCTTTGTGACGTAGAAAGTGAGAAAGGGGTTTGATTGACAGTGTGGCTGTGGCATAAACCCCGCCCTCGGTGATCTGTACACATCATCCTCCATTGTTTCAACGACGACAGCCGGTAATGTCTCTTGGAAACATAATTTAAGTGTTCTGTCGTGGACTCGTGGGTTAATCCTGTTGTTGTGGCTTAAAAGTTAATCCTCAACTGTGGATCGTCGTCTACTGTTTGCGATCCACCGTCACATCCAGTAACAGTAAGTGTGTTTTATGATTTTTGAGCAAATAGTCTTTTCAGTCGATGTCAGCCAATTCAACAACAAATGCGTCTAAAGTTGTTGTCGTCGTAGGATGTCTGTGTATATAATTTAAACCTTGTTTGTATAGTGTGTAACCACACGTTTATAAATATATATATTTTTAAAGATATTGTATTAAAAAACGCATATATGTTCTTGTTCTGTAAGTTAGCCATCTTCTCACATTTGCCACAGAAGCACCTGTATGACAAGTAAACATGACGCCACAGGTCCCTCGCAAATGTAATTTCGCTTGTAAGTTACGTAGCAAACTTTATCACAGAATGTGTATGTAACGTTAGTTTAAAAAAATGCGCCAGCGTTAGTGTTTGTGTGTCTGTGTGTGTGTTGCTCCACCATACTTGCAAAGAGGACGCGATTACAACGCTAAAGTACATAAATGTATCAAATAACCATACCGAGACGTACTGGTCCATTCTCATTTGTGTTTATTCTGCCGGAGTCTCTTCGTGCTATTTATTTATTCCGATTCAAACGTACGCTGAATGACAGACAAAACAGCGCGTCTCTCACTCTCCCCTTCTGCCATAGCCATAGGTTTCAAGTTACGCCCTCATCCAAAGGCAGGGCGGGGATATGCAGCTCATTTGCATTAAAGTGGCATGCCTCAAAACAGCTCATTTTCAAACAGGCCCCAAAATGACATTTTCAAATGGTTATAATAAATTAACTATGGCGTATTTTGAGCTGAAACTTCACAAATACATTCTGGGGACACCCAAGACCAATATTACATCTTGTAAAAAGCGGCATAATAGGTGCCCTTTAAGTTTCCTTTTTTCTGTTCATTGTTGTCGAGTCTCATCTATATAATATAATATAATATAATATAATAAATGTGCTAATATAATATGACAACGTAAGAGCGTCAAGACGATGCCCGTGCCATCAGTCAATGTATTGGAGTGATTCTATATGGGCTTCAGACAATCGCCACACTTGCGCGTAATTTTACATGTGAAATGCAACCAAACCTTGGAGCGTTTTGTTTTCGGCATCTCTTTCGGCAAGTCTTCCTCATATTGTTAATGGCTCTCTGATGCCCGCAAATTAGTTAAAATCTCCCGGAATCTAGAGCGAGTGAGCAAAAGCGTGCATACGAGACAGATCAGACTGTGCTAGAGGGAGAGAGCGAGAGACTTTGTGTGTGTGCGCTTCATGACACAGAGACTCAGACATTCGGTCAGGTCTTCTTATTCGGTCTGGTTATTACCGTTTGTGTCGGAACCGGTTCCCTATTGGCACCGCGTTTTGGTACCCAACCCTATCCATAATGCATCCATCTGCGTATTCAGTACCTTCGTCCATATTTTCAAATGTTTCTGCCGGTGAAACCAACCGCACTGGCATTGATCTGTGATAGGTCTGTTAGCGCATTAGGTCCAACCCCCTTTTGGTGGGTTTGAAAGGGTGGGCACTAGTGCTTGTAGTCTTTACAGAAATCCCCCCCTCATATACTTCCCCCTACAATGACGAAAAAATTACGATTTTTGCGTCATTGTAGGAGGAAGTGAAAAAGGTAAATAGCGGATTTCTCTTGTCTCAGGGGAAAATGAGAGAGTGTTGCACGACCATTCAATAGTGGGTTTCTAACAATGGAAATCTTAATGCAAATGGGTGGAGTGTCCCTTTAAAAACTGTATTTCTTCATCTTCGTATTCATGTGTGTTCTAGCAACACAATCTGTAACAGCCTCAGGCTGTAGGAAATGCAAATTCATGTATGTACAGTAGAGGGTGCAGCTCTCAAACCTTTCAGCTGTGCTGCCATTCTGGATTACAGAAGATAAGAACGCAGGAAAAGAAAGAAGAAAGTTTATTGTGAAGTAAAAACTTTTACTTCAGCAACAAAAACAACAAAAGAATTTTAGAGAGAGAGAAAGAATCCAAACACAGTTTAATGACAAATGTAATCTAAAGTCATAGTCCATACCAGGCAGAGGGTCAATCAGCACATGTAATCAGTCCAAACACACATTCAATTCACAGAGGGATAACAGGAACGAGGAATCCAAAACTCAAGCAGAGATAAACATAAGAAACATTGGACCTGCTCGAAATGCGGACAGCGAATGCAAACCAACACTTTAAACCAAGACATCATAAAGAATGCAGGGCAAAATAATGAACTAAGATAACAAGACACAGCTGAAACAGGTTAACTAATAATGGGCAGAAGTCCGGGAATAAAAGAGTGAAGAAACAGTGAAGGACGAGGCTGCCATCTGCTGGTACTTAAGGGTAACTTATTGAGATTAAATACATTAAGTATACTTTTGTCAGTTTTAAAACCAGCGCACATTACACCTTTACATCCGAATTCTCTCAACATGGGGACAGGAGAGGTGTCAGTCGTAAATTATTATTTGAAAAGTAACTCAAATATTTTGATGTAGATTTAAAAGTAATGCCATACTTAATTTACTTTACTCCCAACACTGCTCATAACTAATGTTTGCTGACTCCAGAAATATAAATAGGGCAGAGGGAAATATTCTAAACATGAAAAGTGGAAGACATAATTGACAGGCCAGTTTAGGGGCATTTGCCTTTTCCTTCAGTTGAGAGTAGTGTGTAAATATTTGAAATAAATACACTTTGTAGTAGCAGGAAACTGGAGTACCTCAAAGATCCTCACAGCATTGATTATGCGGGGGTCTGTCTCCCGGTTCAGGTGTTTCTGAAGTGTTATCCAGGCCGTGTTCCTCAGACTCTCGGAAAGCGTGATCTTCCGACTGATCTGTGCCAAACCCAGAACCACACTGTACCGCAGCCTCCATTTGTCTTCATGCGCTACAGACAAAGATATCTACTTTACTTATCTTTATAATAGACATTATCAATAGCCCCAAAAAGTATTTGAAAAGGGTATTTTTTTTGTTACAAATACTTTTAGTGGATGTATAAAATCAGTTCTCCTCAAGTTAACACAGGTGTCCTGCAGTGCAAAGTTACCAAAGGTGTAATACTTAACTTATTTTATAGGTAGAAACATAATTTTATGTGATTATATTTTTTGGAAGCCACTGTATATAAACTTTATCCCAAAGACTTTTATTATGTAATTAGTGCTACCTCTAGTTCTGAGTATGATTCTAGTTTAATGCAGACATTGGCTGCATCCAAAAACTTGTTGCCTTGCTGCCTTGTCAGGCAATGACTTTGCAGCATTTACGCACAAAGGTACTTCAAGAAACTGATTTCAAACTTCTAACTGGGTGTAACGGTTTACTGATCTACGGTATAGTGAACAAAATAGAGAGAGCTTTGGTTATAACTAAGCAAATATTTCATTACTACAATAGTAATTTCTCATTAATATGCCATAAAAGGGGAAAACGTTGGTCAAAAATGTACATTTACACACAAACTGACCCCCAACCACCAGATGAACGGAATCGTAGGACACATGGAAGTGAAGCTAACATTGGATTTGGATGTGCCTTGATGCCATACATCCACCAAAGGCAGCATTTTAAAATTTTCAGACACAGCCTTTATGCATATTTCTGTCTAAAGAACTTACATTGTTTTAGCAAAGTTAAAAGTCCTCCAGAACATCTGCATGGAAAAGAGTTTGACTGCCCAATGAGGGCTGTTTTCCTAATTCCAGCACAGCAGCTGTTCAGGCAAATGTCAATCAAAATGGAGCAGTATATATGCTCCAACTGCCATGGCCAGGATGCTTTCTGTGATGCCATTTCCTGCATAAACAAAACACAAACAAATAAATAAATAAAAATACTTTCACAAAATGAGTATTAATTAATCATATGATTAAAGATTTATTTAGAACCTTTTTGAGTATGACACACAGATTTATTTAACTGTCACCATCGCGGTACCGGGGACGCCTAACTTTACTTCACTATATTTCTATTAAATCTCAATCTAATTATGACAAATTATATATTGTTGGAAAGGTCTAAGACTTCTAAATACATATTCTACCCCTGTTTCGTGTTACAAATTAAAACTTCTGTTTTTATGTTAAAAGTTCATAATAAAACATATATATATATATATATTATCCTCTAAAATATAATATATTTTTGTATCGCCTTTTTTTATTATATCACATATTTTAGTAGTTATCATAAATTGGGTATCATTTGAAAGCTTATAAACTCAGAATTCATCCTTTGAACACGTTTTATAATTGAATATTGCGTTACCATAGAAACCGTGCTTATTTTAACAGGCTCCTCCCCTTTTGTGCATCATTATATTTCATAATTTATTATCAAAACCTTTTCTAATCTTGACAAAACACATATTTTCAGAAAGGTCTGAGTCTCGAGGTTCCAAATTTTGTTCCAAAATTGATATTTGGACAGAAATGTATTAATTTGTTAAGGCAGAATGTATACAACTAAATTCAATGGAATTCAATGGCACCCGGTGGCTATTTTTGGTACTACGCCTAAACAAAATCTCATGGGAACTTCAATTTTTGTGATATCAACTTCAAACTTGGAACATAACTTAAGTTAGATTTATGGCTTTGATTTTATAATAATTTTAGAGTAAAAAATATTTTGTAAAATATATATATTTTATATAAAATAAAAAAATATATAATACAGTATATTTGATTTACTGTGAATTTAAACTTCCATAACTTTTACATACTTTCATTTTTTCAAGGGTTTTCACTTCAGCAATAATCTGATGAGTGTTTCCTTTAAAACAAGACCAAACTTGGGTATATATTTCAAAGCATTCTTGAATTAATGTCTTGTTAACTGACACCTGCGTCTTGTTGTATTGTGTTAGTTCCGCAAAGTCATCTGCTGAAGATATAGATATTCTGATATGTGTCTAACTACAGTTGCAGACGCACAGTCAACTAGCTCTCGAGTGTAATCTTGATGTTCTAAACCCAGTTCATTAGTACTTTCTTAAAGGAGTAGTTCACTTTTAAAAAAACTTTTGCTGATAATTTACTCACCCCCATGTCATCCAAGATGTCCATATCTGCACGTTCGTAACTCTCCTGTTCAAACTCGTTCATCAAAATGAACAAATCTTTTTCCGAGTCAATTCGTTCATTTCGTTCGTTGAATGAACCAAATGACACGAAAAAAGATTCGTTCAATTTGATAAACGAGTTTGAACAGGAGAGTCACGAACGTGCATCACAGAACAGAGCAAGGCGACCATTTGAGCTTATAAAACTTCAACTTTGTTTTTTTTTTTTTATTCATCGGCTGGAATCGTTTAAAGCCCTTTGAACAGTTTGCAGTTTGCACTGAAACTGTCTTTTGGACCTTGAACCATTTATTTACCAGTAAAGTGCATTATATGGAGAAAAATCCTGGAATGTTTTCAACAAAAACCTTAATTTCTTTTCGACTGAAGAAAGAATGACTTGGATGACATGGAGGTAAGTAAATTATCAGCACAAGTTTTTTTTTTTTTAAAGTGAACTATTCCTTTAAGGACCTGAGTGCTTTCTTGTGTTTGGACCATGTGAAGGCTCATGAGGGTCTGAAGGCACAGCATGCTAGATTTGGCAACCTCTCCCAGAACCATCAGTCCTAACCCACAGTCGACCCTGAGAACAGTGGAGGTAAAAAAAGACTGATGTTACTCTGGGGTTTTAACCTACAGTTCCACCTTTAAGCTGCTTACTGGTATATAACATAAAAAACCTGTGGAAAGTATCTCACAAACACACTTCACGCACCAGTTGTCTTGTTGAAGTTTATCTCTCAGCAACATAAGCTGTTTGATCACTTGAGAGAGCTGAGTGCTATTGTTTTGCACACAGTGATAGCTGAAAAGGCACTGCCTTAGGACCTGGTTAACACCATGCTCCTGTGCTTCCATGGAGACCTGTCAATCAAACAGAGTTTTCAATACAGTGAATCATTCAGTTCAGCACTTCTTTTCCGATATAATTGACCTAGCCTTCAAACCTGCACTGAAGTGTCCTCGGTAAGTTTGAGACCAGACAGAACCCCCCCGACGTGCATCATGAAGTGAATAGAAAATAACAAGTCCGGGAACTCTTGGAAGCGTGTTTCACACTTCAACAGCCCTGTCAACAGATAAAGACAGCTGCAAACTTTATATGCATTCCACTGATTCTTGTGACATTGGACAAAACATGTCCCACAATTTCACTTGCCATTAGCAACATTTAAACTTTGGAGTCACACGTCCTCACTCTATAACCTAATACATCACTTGGTCACACTTTAGTGTCCAGCTATCACTATTGACTTACTATTAACTGTCTTTTGGCTCAAAAAACTCCTAATAACAGCTTATTAATAGTTAGTATGTTTTGAGTATTGAGTATTTTAAGTATTGAGTAGGATTAAAGGGGTAGCTTTTGCTGATAATTTACTCTCCACCATGTCATCCAAGATGTCCATGTCATTCTTTCTTCAGTCGAAAAGAAATTAAGGTTTTTGATGAAAACATTCCAGGATTTTTCTCCATATAATGGACTTCAATGGGAACCAAAAGGTTCAAGGTCCAAAAGACAGTTTAGTGCAAACTGCAAACTGTTCAAAGCGCTTTAAACGATTTCAGACAATGAATAAGGGTCTTATCAAGCGAAACGATCGCTCATTTAAAAAAACAAAAACAAAGTTTAAGTTTATAAGCTCAAATGGTCGCCTTGCTCTGTTCTGTGATGCGCGTTCATGACTCTCCTATTCGAACTCGTTCATCAAAATGAACAAATCTTTTCCCGAGTCATCTCGTTCATTTCGTTCGTTGAATGAACCAAATGACATGAAAAAAGATTCTTGAGCCACAAAAACATTCGATAAACGAGTTCGAACAGGAGAGTCACAAACGCGCATCACAGAACAGAGCAAGGTGACCATTTGAGCTTATAAAACTTAAACTTTTTTTTTTAATGAGTGATCGTTTCGCTTGATAAGACCCTTATTCGTCGTCTGGAATCGTTGGTGGGGGTGAGTAAATTATCAGCAAAAGTTTTTTTTTTTTAAAAGTGAACTACTCCTTTAAGGGATGTAGCATATGGTCATGCAGAATAAGGAATTAATTTGTGTTTCATAAGTACTAATATACAGCAAATATAGTAGTAAGATGCATGATAATAAGCAACTAGTTAATATTGAGAACTGGGTGGTAAACTAAAGTGTTACCTATCATTTTAATAAAATATAAATATATCATTAACATAATTATGGAAGCCTGTTTCTGCCACCTAAAAATAATAATAATGTGTTGTTAAATTATAATTATGACAAATTCAGAATTATGACATACTAAGTAAGTATGAATTAGTAAATGACACATTTCAATATTATAATTTCATATTTTTTGGTCAATTTCTGACAGACTTTAGTGTGTCAGAAATTTAAGTTTTTATTTAAATGTTTTATCTCATTATGTCTTAGTAACTCATTTTAACTTTTATGTCATTACTATGATTTACCAAAGCATGATTTATTTTACCTTATATTGTGGAAATGGGCTTCCATAAATATCATATAATACTATGCTAAGCGATTTCTGAGAAATGCTGTTAAAAGTGGATCAGACCGAGCACCACAAAACACCCGTAGCCAATCAGCAGGGAAGAGAGAGCGAGAGTGAGCAAGAGGGAGATTTGAGGAAAGACTGCAGAAAAGGAGATGGCGTTAATATTAGAAAAGCTTTCCAGCGCTGGAGCGCCCTGAAACGGACTCTGAAATCAGATGCCAAGGTTGCGTTGTTTCTGCTTGTGTGTTATTATGTGTGTGGAGCTGGTGACTAACACAGAACTCCTTGTTGTTTTTTCACCATCCTGCTTTATTTTTTGTGCAAAGCATTATATTACTTTGCTTCAGCTGTGATCAAGAGACATCCACTGTTGCATTGTGTGTTTGTGCATTTTGGGGGTGGAGCAATGAAGGAAGGGGTGTGTTTGTATGGGTAACTTCTACATTAAACTTTTAAACATTTTTATCAGAACAATCTAAAATAATTCCTTGGTACATTAACTTTTATTTTGCAGTCCTGTGGTTTTGTCACAACCCTCAAAAATATGTAATATAAAGGTTTTATTGTTTTGCAATAATTATTAAGTTGAGGCAATCCCAAACCTTTCAAGCTGTGAAGATAGATGCTGCTTAGCTGATGCCCATTTAATTTACCAGTCAGTTGAAAGATGAACAGCCTCAGAGAGACCAAATATCCAAGCTGTAAAAAAAAAAAAAAACAGTCGATCTATATATAAAAAGAGCCATATATAAATAAAGACTTCATATATATATATATATATATATATATATATATGTATATATATATATATGAAGAGTTCAGATGCAAAAGCCTCTAAGTGCCATTTGAAATTTTGTTCTAGAATGACCATTTTTTATCAAGCTTGTATATTTAAGTTCAGTAATTTCACTTAAATGACAATTAATAGGTAATCTTCATTGCCATTTAAGTGAAATTACTTAACTTAAATATACAAGCTTGATAAAAATGATAATTTTAGAAGGAAATTTCAAATTGCACTTAGAGGCTTTTGCATCTGAACTCTTCATATATATATTACTAATTCAGTAACTAACTACTATAATAAAGGAACCATGTTTAGTGATATTAAATTATGTAGCATATACCTGCAGCATCTTCATCTTATAAGAACTTGGAGGGTCCGATAGAGTTGTGTCAGAGCACAGGAAACACTGGATTGACTCTGCCAGGTGGAACAGCACAGGGATCTGATCTGCATGGATGGGTGCATGGTCCAATGACATGACCAGGACATCCAGTGAATCTGAAAAAAATGAATGGCCATCACCTTTCATGTTGTTTTTTTTCTCCCCCCAAACAAAATTAACCGAATTACCATGGTTATGTTATGTTTTTGGAAATGTATTTACCATAGTTATAGTAATCATGGTATGAGAATATTGCAATTATTCAGTCTTTAAAGTTAGGGTAGGTAATTTTCAGGCAGCTAGCTTTGAAAGCATGAGATCCCACCCTCCCTTCAGAGCAAAGCCACGCCTCCTCCAAAACATGTGAATGCGAGGAGCAAACAAAAATGTCTGAAAACACATAACATTACAATAATGACAACTAAAAGAGCACTGACCTGTACCACCTGACTGCTGCAGATTCATTTCAGCGTTGATAGTGTGGGAAAAGCAAATTTGAGTCATGAACTACTCAGAATATAACGTCATGGGTTTCCATCTCTTCCAAATTACAGTAGTTATGGGGTGAACGTAGCATAAACTCGTTTTTTTGGTTTAGGAGGAACTGGTTTAGGAGGAACTGTGTCGTGTCTGTGTCGGAACTGTGTCGTTCAGTGACGTGTCTGTCTAACCATAAACATTATGCCTAGCTTTGTAATGTCTGCATGAACACAGTGCGTGAAGGTATGGAATTGCATACGTTGTCAGGCAGGTAGGACATTGTATCATTGCATTGGACCAAACTTTTTATGGTCCTACACCTTCCACACACAATAACACACAAACATTAAGACCACTATCGGGATGGGAAGAGTATACTTATAACAGTATAACAAAAACAAAAATTCTGGAACAAATTACCTACCCTGCCTCTAAAAGTGTCATTTGTCACGGTGTCAAGTAGCATTAACATCTTATACAATATTGCTCACAGAGTACTGAAGCCCAAAAATGGTTCTCACTTTGAATTCTGTAACATTGTGTAACATGATATTTTTGTGTAAAAAAAACAGTTTGTCGTTGCATGTCATGAACACACCATTTTTAACTTTTCCATTGCACAAGCTCAGCAGAAGAAGCCGTGTCCAGGCCCCGGGGAGATCAACGTGTTTGCCTTCACCAGAAGATATGAATCCAGCAAGACGCTGAGGACAAAGAGTCGAGTGTTTTCATCAATAGAGGTTTGTCTCCACCTTGTGGCTGGAGAGAGTAATGCTCCAATTTCATCACAACTAAGTTATTCAAGCGCCCTTTTCGAGGGTTTTGTGGCCAGTTGCACAAACTATGTCAAAACTCATTTTTTAAAATTCAAATTAGACAGATCTACCTTTTTATGCACGTTAACGGCTTTTAAATAGCTAGGAACAGACTTCAATTGAAGATAAGTAACGTTAGATGACTTACTTTTAAGACTAAGCATTATGCATTGTATTGATTTAGACCAAATTAGGGCATTTAAACCGGGCAAACAACAAAGAAAACGTGTAATACCTTGCATCGAATAAGAAACACATCTGCGAGATTTTCATATTTTTCCTGCTCCTTGGAGCCTTGTGCCTGATTGTATTTTTCAAGGAACCCCTCTGTTGTTTCAAAGGGGTTTCTTTAATAGGAAAATGTCATAGTTAATTTCAGTTTAATAATAAGTTATTTTGGCATCAGCACTTCAGTAAAACAATAAATAATTTGCGATTAATTTGTTGAGATACCTTCTGACAGTTGAGGTTCTTGCAGAATCAGTTTCTTCGGCCCTTTTTCTGAAACGTTTTTTAAAATCCGATTGTTGAGACTGAGAAACTATTCCTAAATAATGTTTGACAGGAATTTTGAGTATAGGCATTCTGATGCGTTCAGGTTCACCACAGTCTCGCACAACGCAAAAAGTCCACACACACACTGCGTGTGGCAGCAGTGACGTACCTCTTCGTTGCTGAAGTGTTACCTTGGCTATCTGGTCCACAACATTTCGTATATTGTATTTTGAAGGAGCCAAATTCATTTTATCACCTAATAATAAAAATGCTTTGGTAAATCATTAAATTCATAAATGTCTTTATGACTTAAAGTCATAATTATTAGACAAAAAGTCAACATAATTACATGAAATATGACATTTTGACATAAGTAGTAATTGTTTATTTCGGAATTATATTATAAATTGTATTATAATTATATTTTATTAATATTATAAATTTCGGAATTATATTTATAAATTTATAGGAATTTATAATTAATTAATGTTATGTAAAACGTTGTGACACGAAAAGTCGATTTATTTCTCATAATTTACTTTTTATGCCGTAATTGTTCTCTTTTTTTCCCAAGAGTTACTTCCTAGTATGATATAACATCAACCTTCTATTTTGACGTATATCAAAGCATGATATCCAATCCAATTTCCTTGCATCCACAGAGCGCCGCTGGTGTAGTGGTATCATGCAAGATTCCCATTCTTGCGACCCGGGTTCGATTCCCGGGCGGCGCATCATCTTTTGGCTCGGTAAATTTAAAAATATCACTGACTTTTCTTGTCTATTACTACTCTGAACACTGCGTATACTGTAAATACATTTGTATTTAATGTACAGTGCGGTGGTCAGACGCATTTTCAAAGCTTGCTTTTTGTGCGCTTTGTAGCTCGTGCGCGCATGCGCTGAAGCATTTCCGGTCCGGTTCCTCCGCCATCTTATGTCGCCTTTCCATTGTTCATAACTGGAGTCAGCCGAGGCGGCATTTCACATTTACTCTCATTATAACAGGTTTGGCGGAGAACAGAGAGGGTAACAACACTGGAAAGAGCGAGACACAGGCGGAACTCGAGATCATCTCAAATATACACAAGAGGAGTTTCTCTCAGGGTTCGTTGTCTTAATTCGATCGGGAAAATATGATGGACGACGAGCAGCCCAAGACCCTGTACGTATATCGGCATTGTACGCCAACACGTTAGACCGAAAACTTCATATCAGATCAAGTCATTCACACCATAGCCTTTTAAAAAACACGTTCCGTTTTGTCATTTCGCTCAAGTCATTTCTAACTCATTGCAGTCTCGTGTGTGATGCTAAGGGAAATGCAACCACAAAGCAGACGTGTACGTTACATTCGTGTCCCAAACAAAAGCTCTGATTACTGGAAAAAGAGATTCACTTTAGCGTACATTTAGCGCTCAAGACTGTTAAGCACAGGGCAGTCGTGTGATTTTAAAGAATTTCGTACACCATGTGCTAGTTATTGAGTTAATTTAGATAATTGCAGCAGGCCTGTTGAGGCCACAGCAGGGCCGCTCTCACACACTGCTGTCTGTGTTTGAGTGTGTGAAGTTGCCTTGTACTTACTGAAAGCTCATTGTCGTTAGGGAATTGCTAGACAAAGAACCCGTCTAGTGTATTTACTGACGTATTTGTAAAGCATTACTTCTATAAATGCCGCATGCTTATTCAATTGACACGTCCCCCTGTGTGTAATGTTACATTCGGGATTAAAATGTACAAAGTGTGCATATTTTGGTCATATCTGGCTTTTCGTCCCTCGTATCCGACAGCACAAGAGCTTTTGTTGCTGGTCGCGCGCTGCCTGTGCGAGTGTGCGCTCGTGCGTGCTTCTGTTTTGTCATCTCTTTGTTTCAAACCTGTATTCATGATAAGCAACTCATTGCTGGATGAGGTTTTTTAAGGTTAAGTAACGGCTCATGCCTACCTAATTCCTTTGTAATGTAGATCAATTGGATCAATGTAACTCAGGTGCTTGAAGATAGCAAAGATTGCACTCATGGACCCCCTGTAATAACTGTCAAATTATACATTTAAATATTGAACCCGTCACTCATTGTCATGTCCATATCCCCCTTTTTCCCAGGTATGTTGGAAACCTGTCACGGGATGTGACCGAAGCCCTTATTATGCAGCTCTTTGGTCAGATTGGCCCCTGTAAGAGCTGTAAAATGATTGTGGATGTGAGTATATAATTTGCTTATACAGCAAGTTGTGTGCTAATGCCGTCTTTCAGTTCATCTTTTTTAATGAATATATTTAGCATTGATATTTTTTATTTCTTGCACCAGTAACTTGTTTTTCTTGTTTTTCATAAGCATCTCGATACTAGTAGAGGTGTGAATCCTCACTTGCCTCATGATTCGGTTATGATTCCAAGGGTAATGATTTAATTATAAAACTATTCTCTATGCATCGCTATGCATCTTTTCCTTCAATTTATTAATACAAATGACTATATTAATCACTACATTATAGTTTTTTTGTTGTTGTTATTTTATCTTTGTTATTAAATTAGACAATATAAGAAAAAATGGAATGAACAACACTTTCAAATTTTTCATTTTATATCTATTTAACACAAGTTAAGTAGCAAGAAATATAGAAAGTGAATTAGGCCTATCAGGATTTATAAATCACCAGTTTTTAGTGTTATCTACAAATACATTGATTATTATTAAAGCTACAAAAGTTATTCAGTCAAGATCAGAGAGTGATTCCATCTTTTATTTTATTGTATGATTGACATTAATGACAGACAGCAGCAGATTTATTAAATTAAGACCTAATGCATGGATCTAAGACTGCTTGACATAACAGACTGTTTACGTGAATACTCGCCAAGACAGATATTTTGAAATAATTCTTTGTTGCTCATCATTCAAGCACAATACTCTAAAGATATGTTCACATCAGCATCTCAATGCTTTATAAAATATATATTACATATATATATATATATAGCGCCTATATAGTGCTGTCAGTCAATAATAATAAAAAAAATATTTATACATACACACACATTACAAGGTTTCTTGCAGCAGTTACTTAACCAGTAGAAAAGACAAGGGGCTTTTATCTGATACTTGACAAAATGTGTCATTACAACTGTGAAGGCTTTCATTAAATAAGTTAATGTAGTCTAATCGCGCTAATTTCCCTTCAGACGGCAGGTAACGATCCATACTGCTTTGTGGAGTTCTTCGAGCATAGGCACGCAGCGGCCTCACTCGCAGCCATGAATGGGCGTAAAATAATGGGTAAGGTAAGCTATCGTATCTACAGGGTGAGTTGGGCTGGGACGGGAGGGTGAAACAGTTCAGATCTTCTGCAAACTTTAAGTAGAATGCCTGTATGCTGGATGTGCAATGTGCGCTGAGAGGGAGATTTTGACATTTTTCATGTTGACCAGATGTTTTTTTTATGTTTCAGGCCATATAAATCTCATTATCGTTTACTTGAATTTGCCAAATTATTGATTAGTGTCAATGCTACATGATTCATGATTAAATTCTGTAGCCTGAATTTGTTGACCCATGCTTTTGTATGTTCATTGTTGGATGAATCGCTTCCTTGAAATGTGCATTTTATACTTAAGCATGGCCAGAAATCCAGTCAAATTGACATACTGCACCAACCATTACCTCTTTTTTTGTTTTTTATTGTACGCAAGACACATTCTGATAGTCATGTCACCTGTAAAGCTTTTTCATTTTATGCTTCAAGATGTTTTGTCATGTACACTACCATTCAAAAGTTTGGGGTTGGTAAGAATTTGATGTTTTGACAGAAAACATCTTCTGCTTACCAATTCTGCTATTGTTAAAAAACAAAAAAAACCCCAGTAAATTTTGATGTTTGCTGTATTTTTTCAGTTTGCTTTGTTTTTATTTTATATCTGAAATTTGTATTTTTGTAAGATGTTGCCATGAAGAAAGCCACAGAAGTTGACATGGCATTAAATAAAATCAATTTTTTTTCAGTATTCTTTGAATAGACATTTCCAAAGAAAAATATTTATTTGAGTCTTTTTTTTAAAGTGTCACTTTTGATCAATTTAATCCATCCTTGCTGAATAAAGTATTAATATCTTACTAAAAAGTTATTGACCACAAACTTTCGACCAGTAGTGTATTTTTGATATTATTCTTTCAGAATCTAGAATTTGAATCCACAAGTCTATTTCCAATAGATTATACTTTAGAGGCAGATTAAGCGTCTTATGCCTATTCAGTACAAAATATTTTATCCTCAACAGGTAATGAAGGACCATTTGAGGAGTAATACAAGTTGGTAATTTCACTTGTTTTGTAAGTCCCTTGTTATTTGGACCTTTTTACTACCAAGATTGTTTTGCCTGTTCAAATAAGTTCTCACTAGGACAGCTAAGTGTGAATTGAGTAGCGTCAGGTCTCCCTCCTCTCTGCTGTACATTCAATCATCCATTTTGTTAAGGACAGTGATTTATTGTCAGATAAGTAGAGAGCAGCGACTTGAACATGTCTTTATCATTTCTAACATTTCTTTCAATCTTTTCCTCCCTATACCCTTCTCCTAGGAGGTAAAGGTGAACTGGGCTACATCACCAAGCAGCCAGAAAAAAGACACAAGCAGTGAGTTGCTTTTCATGTTCCTCGATGCCTAATGAAGGCCAGATATCAGGAATTCATACTTCAATCCAAGTAACTCTTGTCTGGTGCTATTTAGATCACTTCCACGTCTTTGTTGGAGACCTCAGTCCAGAAATCACCACTGATGATATCAGAGCTGCCTTTGCACCCTTTGGGAGGATATCGTAAGTGAAATTATGCATTTTAAATCAAGAAAATCCCTTTTTTTGTTGTTGAATTTAACCATTTTGAGTCATTGAGTCTGTTTAAAGGGATACTCCACTTTTTTTGGAAAAAGGCTCATTTCACCGTTTTCAAATGCATTCAGCCGATTTTCTGATATTTAGAAGAATATCAGTAACCAGACAGTTTCTGGTCTCATTGACTTCCATAGTATATTTTTTCCTACTATGGAAGTCAATGAGACCAGAAACTGTCTGGTTACAGATATTCTTCTAAATATCAGAAAATCGGCTGAATGGATTCGACAACGGTAAAACTCAACTGTTTAACACTGGGTGAGTTGTAAAATGAGCCTATTTCCAAAAAAAGTGGAGTATCCCTTTAAATGACCTTACACAATACTTGCTTTAGTGTACAATTTTGTAAATGCTTTTGACTGATTTTCATTTTTATATATCTATATGTATATATGTATGTGTGTGTGTGTATATATATATATATATATATATATATATATATATATATATATATAGGTCATATATGGATAATGCAAAGAAGGTCAACTTAACTTCTAAATTTTTGCCCATTACCTCACTTTCGGTTTAGTTTTATAACTCAGGTTTTTTTTTTTATTATTAAATATGCAGAGATCTGATTATTAGCTTTGTTAAATAGTGTAGGATTTAAATTCATGGATATGGTTTTCTGGCATTGTCAGTTTTCTCTTTTTGTCTTAAAACACTAAATATTTTTTAGTAACTAGCCAGCAATGTTTTGTTTTGCACATAACATTTAATAACTTTACCCTTGGTGATGTTTAAAAGTCATTCAATCTCAAGTATTTCAGTGTCATTTTTGGGGGGAATTTAAACGGTCTGTCTTTTCTCAACACTTTCAACTTTTGCTCTTTTTTTCTCAGAGATGCACGTGTAGTGAAAGACATGGCGACGGGGAAGTCAAAAGGCTATGGTTTTGTTTCATTCTTCAACAAATGGGTGAGTCACAATCCCAACATCAGGAAATGCAGGTTTTTGACTAAGCAGAACCAGGGTGTGTAACATCTGCAATCCTGGAGGATTTTGCAATGCTGATGTTTTTCCACTGGTTGTTTACAGGACGCAGAGAATGCCATTCAGCAGATGGGAGGACAGTGGTTGGGCGGCAGGCAAATCAGGACTAACTGGGCTACAAGAAAACCCCCAGCGCCTAAAGCCACCTATGAAAGTGAGTATTCGCATGCATTTGCCAGACATCTCAACTATTATTCATAAGGAGAAAACTAGCCATCATGAAACCCCTACCTATGTTAAAATGTTAGTTCTGCCAAAAAGGAAAATTCTGTCATTTTACTTAAACTTTTGTTGTTCCAAACCTGTATGAACATCTATGGTGTTTTTTTTTGTTTTTTTTTTTCATTATGGTGGATTGGGGAGTTGAGACGAGCAGCATTAAAGTGGTCCGCATTAATTTATTGCGTTATTTTAGATGTTTTCATACAAAGCTCTTGTTTAATTCAACTCATCCACAAAGTTAAAGCTCGTTCAGTTGTATTATGGCATGTCAAAACATGTCACTCTGTGTTTACCATTAATGATGGGACTTGCTAGAACTTGTTTGTCATTACGTGGATCCTGGTGTATTGGGTTGATTTTTTTTTTTTTTTTTTTTTTTTAAGGGTGTATGAATGTGAAAAGTGCAGAGACCTGTAAGGTTAATCCTCATTTCTTTAATCAAATTCACAGCAAACACCAAGCACTTGTCGTTCGATGAGGTAGTGAACCAGTCCAGCCCCAGCAACTGCACAGTTTATTGTGGTGGAGTCACTACAGGCCTTACAGGTGAGTTTTTTTTTTTTTTACTTGTTTGTGTAACCCTTTTGAATGGAAGCTAATTCTAATTCTCTTTTTGCCGTAGAACAACTCATGAGACAGACCTTTTCCCCCTTTGGCCAAATAATGGAAATTAGAGTGTTCCCAGACAAAGGCTACTCGTTCGTGAGGTATGTTTGTTATTCAAGTGGTGGTTAAACGTCCTAACGGCAGAGGATGATCTGACAATCTTCATCTCTATAGGTTCAACTCTCATGAAAGTGCAGCTCATGCGATAGTGTCTGTTAATGGTACGTCCCTAGAAGGTCATCTAGTGAAATGTTACTGGGGTAAAGAGACTACAGACATGGTGACCCCCATGCAGCAGGTGCAGGTACCCCAGGTGAGCAGGAATATTAAAAGTGGTAGTGGAATTCATGCTTGTGAAATATGTTTGCCAACATAAAGAGAATAAACATAAGTAAATGATAGGCATGTGATTAATGTTCTTTATTTTTCTGATCTTAAAGCAGAACAAAGTTGGTTTCGCCGCACAGCCATACGGCCAGTGGGGACAGTGGTACGGAAACGCACAACAAATTAGTCAGTATGTCCCTAACGGCTGGCAGGTACCTACTTACGGCGTGTACGGACAGGCTTGGAATCAACAAGGCTTCAAGTAAGTCTACAGATCTTCATACCTCTATTTGCAATGAAGAAGATTGCATTTTAGCAATTTCTTGATTCTGTAATCCTATTTTTCACAAATAGTAAAACGTGCTTTTTAAGTACAAGATATAAACTAAGTACATTATAAACAGTGTGTTGGTTACCTGGGAAGTGTCTTTGTTCTGGACTTCATATGTTCACAAATATAGACCAGGTAATGCTAATTTTACATACAGTACATAGTGAATATGACCGTGACCAACTGGAAATACTTTGAAATCAAGGATTTTAATTGTGTCGGTCGTGCGTGTCCAGTGATGATTGGACAAATAGAATGAGAAAGTATTATTGTTGTAGCCTTTTAATTACTTATAATACCATTTCATATACCTTTTGTTTACTTCTAACATTTGTCAAATGATAATAAAAATAATTAAATCGAGAAGTGCTGGTGCTGTCAAAGCCTGTCAACTCCCGCTTCTGACACTTGGCGGCCAATGCTGATTAAAAAAATGATGTATTGGTCAACAACTAAATGTATTCACAGCTCAAATATTACAATTAAGTTGCTAGAAATTGCTCTGTGTGCTGTATCTACAATTGCTGTTATCTTCATGGTGTTTAGGGGCATGTGAATCTGAAATCAGTGTGCAAAAAGTCAACTATTAAATTAAGGGGGTTGCTCCTAAGCCTCACCAAATAAATTAGTGTGAAAAGACTGGTTTCCACTCAAGTTGCTAAACGGTTTCGTTTAAAAACGGAGACCTTTTGCTACGTTTGCACTTCCTGTCCAGACTAAAAAGGAAAAACTAGTTTAGAAACGCTGCAGCTCCGTTTTGCATTTTGCAGGGTGTTTTAGTGCAGACGGGACAAACCGAAGGACTTTAGAAACAATGAAGCAGAGGCTCACGCTCGGCTCTATGATTGGGTGTCATCAGTCATGACATGTCCTTCCTTTATTTGCCAGCCACCGTTTACACCGGCACGTGCATGCCCAGTGTTGGCGAATAGTCACGTGATCCACGTTTTCAGTCGTTTTAATGTGGACTGAGATCAATTCTAATACGCAGATAAAACGTTGGTGTGGACGGAGATCGTATTCGTTTTAATTCTCCGTTTTTAAATGTGTGGACGGGGCCTAAAGCAGGGCTTTTTATAGGGGTCATGAACTGGCTTTTTAAATTTTATATTGTTGTCTGAGGTCAACTTATAACGTTCGCTTGTTTTTTGCATTCAAAAACATCAAAATGAATAAGTAATAGGCTATTTTGTATTCTAGTTTTGAGCCTAGCTCAAAAACGCTCTGTTTTAATGGGCGTCTCGCACTGAAGATTCGGAAGTAAACGCCCACTGCTGTGAGTGGATAACAGTTTTGCCTATTTAGAGTTTCATCTAACCTGTCAATGCACTTGGGGGAAATTGTTTTGAAAACGTCCAATGTTATAAAATGACAACTGGAATTATTTGCTCATACATGTGCGCCCCAGAGTCCGTGTGTAGCACCATTCCTGTCGGATCCAATATAGGCGGCACAGCACCGTTCTTTAATCTTAATTGGTCTGCAAATCCAGTCTTGTTTACAAAACAATCCTCAGTGAAATGAAGCGAACAGACGGACAATGTTTTACCCTCATCAGCTGGAACGTCATTAAAAAAAAAGTTTAACCATTCAGTCCTACTGGAATCCAGAGGAAGCATATGCAGTGACAATACGCATCACGAGGTAGGCCTATGTTATTTAGCTATGCATGTAATGTGCAAATCGGTGGGCGGGGCTAAACCGGCCGTTTTGAAGTAGGCGTTGATCTTCTTCTGCGGGGGTGGTGTTTTATCCTCTGTCACCATAGTTCCCCACTTTTAAAAACGAGTCGTTTGCTGGGCCTGGTGTCAATAAAAGCTTTTATTGGACCCATAAGGATGTTTTCAGTTCTGAAAATTACAGGATATTCTTATATGATGACCTCTTAGATGTCAAAAGATCAAGGAAAATTTGATTTCTCAGTTCATCACCCATTTAACTCTGAAATATGATCAATATGAGGGGCCACCAGCCTAAAATGAAAATGTGTCTGGTATAAAAAGCCAATATATATAACTGCTCTCTTCTCTTCCACCAACTATCAGCTACTTTGTGTTGTAGTCACTTACAGGCTGGCGCTGGGTGGACTGGTGTGAGTGCCGTGAGTAACGGAGGCGTGGTGGAGTCTGCGCAGGGAGTCAATGGAACCGTGCTAGCCAACCAGTCCAGCATGGGCACTGCAGGATACCACACACACTGATGGGGCGATGAACATCTCTAGCACTCTACTGCGGCCGCAGCAGGGATCTACACACCACCCCCTCCCCATTCTCAAACACCTGTCAAGATGGCTGGCCTGGGGAGGGGGTGTGCCATTCCCCTCCGATCCTCCCCATCCTCCACTTGTAATTTTCCTTGAGTTTGAGACTTTGAGGCAGATCTTGCTCATCATTGCGGGGTCTCGAGTTGCCCTACACTGGGATTAAACCACGCACCCTGATACACAAGCATATTCAGACGCATTAACACACACCCACATAAATCCACAAGTCTTCGGCCTGGTGTCCGACTGACTTATTCGGAGAGGACTATGCCATTTTTAAGTCAAAGTACTATAAACGAATAAAATCAACTTCAACTTTTCCATTTTGCTTTTTTGGGGGGGGGGGTTTGTTTAGAGCGATTTCAGCTGCTGATTTTGTAATATATGAAGCTTTGCCTTTTTGTTTTTTTGGACTTGCCATTTTAAAAGCAAAATTGTTTTGTTGAAAGGAGCGACGACACCAACGAATCGTGTGAAATGTCAACCTTTTTTGTTTTTGTTTATAAAATGAATAAAATGGATGTCAACTGTTGTATTTTTTTAATTAGACATTCAATTTCTCAAACTAAACCAATTGCAGGGATGACTGCCACATTTTTTTCCTTGAAGGCAGATGAATATTGCACAATATTAATACGTTTTCACAAGAATTTGATGTTACGCAAATTTTAGGTATTTTAAAATTGTTTTGCATTCCACTTTTTTTGAGGGCTTACAAGTACAGTATACCGTTCTGTATGTAAATAACCAAACTGTGTTTAACTGTTGGGACGCTATATAAAGATAATTCAGATGTTGATTATGGATGCTTGCTTGCTTGCTTTTTTTTGTAGGTAGGAGGGAGGGAGGGAGGGAGGATAGGTGGGTGGGGAATGGGCTTGGGCTTCATTGCAACTATTCGGCATTAGCGGCACTGTTAAATGCTGGTCCAAATGGTTTAGGGATTCTTCCAGAGAAGTCTCTGACTCGCGCTGCAACGGGCGTTTTGTTAGAATTGCGATTAATCCTGTATATAAAATCGAAACATTGAATTTTTTTTTTTAAATGAAGTATTTAGTATCAAGACGAGAAACCTGAATGGATCAGAATTTTGCACTGTTGCCCATTGGCGTTTTAATACACGAGACCAATTGTGTTGCCTTATTTGAGTTGATTTCATTTGAAGAAACTGATGATCTTTAAACATAGGCAGTGCCTACGAATAAATCGAGAATTTTTTTTAAGAATAATGTTCATCTTACAATTATGTATTCTTGCTTTGTCCCATTAAAATGCAGATGCAAACAAATATTTCTGCCTGCCCTGTTGTCTTTGAGGTGGATTGTCTTTTACTACCTTGTACAGACTTATACCCCTAGTATAAGTCAACAATACTATACAATGCAATTACTAGTTTAGGCAAAATTATTGGTTGTGGTGGAAATTAGTTTTAATTTGCTTAATGATATAAATCATTACCACACAAGGAATAAAACGTGTCACTATTTTATTGTGTTTGGGTTATAGTTTTAAAAGTGTAGTAATGCAAAATATGTTTAAGGTTCATTGGTTAACTGCATGAACCAATAATAAACTGCACTTATACAGCATTAAAAAAAAAAAAAATCTAAGTTGTTAATGTTATTTTCGCCATTTACTTTATTAAAATCTTGTTAACATTTGTTAATGCACTGTGAACTAACATGAACAAACAATGAACAGCTGTATTTTTTTATTAAGTAACGTTAACAAAGATTAATACAAATACAGTAAAAATGTATTGCTCTTTGTTAGTTCATGTTAGTTAATGAATCTTATTTATAAAGTGTTTCATATTTTATCTGTAATATTATTTTCAAAAGTAAGAAAAACAATATCATAGGCGCTAGTGTAATTATTTTACAAAACTACTATTATCTTAAAATGCAGAAAAAAAATAAACAACGAGTCGGCGAAATAATTTGTGCTGAATGTTAATGAGTCAAGAGCAGGTCAAGAGTTGCTACTGGCTTCAGTTCCCAGTATGCATTTGATTGGTCACCCTATGGCCAATCGGAAAGCTCGTTACAGCCGCAGCAGAGCGTCTGTATGTAAGGAGGAATGGCGACGGTTGTTGAGTCTCTGAAGTGAAATCCTCCGTGGGATCTGACCACTGAGCGCCTGGAAAGCGCCCTTGTAGAGGTTGGCCAGTCTCCCATCATCATTTACTTCATTTCATTCATTCACTGTCACACAGCTAAGGTTAAACTCGATGTCATTTCAATGTTTTGTTAATCTTTACTGTACTAACGTTACTGTGTAATTGCAGGAACATGGCATTGCCTTTTTAATGCGTTTGTGCAAAGAATTTGAAGAAACATTTTAAAGAATGTTTAATGTTTTTATTTTTTTTAATTGTCATTTAAATATACTTTATGAAATGTGTACTAAAACTACTCAAATAATTTTAGTAATAGTTTAACTATGACCTATGATGAGGGTTGCTTTCATAGACATCTCTATATCTGGTTGGTTTTTGAGTGTTGGTGTTGAGGGAGTTTTTTTTTTTTTTTTCTTCTTTTTTTTCTTTTTGCTATATCATGCCAACAGGTTATTTTTTTGAACATGTAGCCTACAATGGTATTCTTTATAGCACACATACCATGGTATTTTATGTTAGCCATGCAGTGTCATGGCCAATACTATCACTGTACCAGAGCATTTTTATAATATTGTTTATATACACACACACACACACACCTCAAAAACGTACTGTTATGTGAATTGTCTTTTCTTACAGTTGCATGTGATTGATGTGCTGCATCATTGCTGACTTTCCAGCAATATATTGGAGGTAAACATTTAGCTCATTCAGCGCTATTTTTGTTTACTCTCTTATAAAGTATCCTGTTACTTTTTAGAGGTGAGAATCCAATTCAAACGATTTAGTGTTGTGCATGAATTGTCCGAATGAATCAACTGAATCACGAATAATTGGTGCTTTTCCACTGCTGGTACGGCTCAGTGCGGTTCGGTTCGGCTCGCTTTTCCACTGCGTGGTACGACTCGGCTCGGCATGGCAGGTCTCGGTTCACTTTTTCCTTGTTTGCTTTTCCACTGCTGTTAGTACCGCTTTAAAGTGGGTGGGATTAGATTAAAAGCAGTCACTACAGCGGTGGCTGTTACTGGCTATGTAAACCTAGCGGGTTTGGTTTCTCGTGTTGCATACAATAACGCTGGTAGTGATTTAGTACCGGTGCAGTACGCTTGGGACCTCAACAGACCAGGTACCATTTAAAGCCAGCCCTACCGTACCATGCAGTGGAAATGTGCCATAAGTGAGCCGAGCCGTACTGTACCATGCAGTGGAAAAGCGCCAAATGTCAGACCTTTTTGCAAACATTTACATTGAATGTGGTAATCTCCACCATCAGACAAGGATTTATCAGTAATATTTTACTGGGATGGCGCTTTCACTGGGCTTTGTGCTCCTGTAAAAAGGAAAAAGTCTAATGATTCCTCTGCACTGTATCATAGTAGCACTACAGTTCTTAAATAATATATTGCTTAGGGCTCCCCCCAAGTTCATGAAGAATAAAATTGTTCTCTGTATCACTCCCGGTTTCAGTGTGTGGGATAACAATGGATGGTCCTCTGGTAAATTCTGGAATACCGCTGGCGACACAAACGGTGGTTTCTCCTGTCACTCAAACCTCCGGTAACTTAAGCGGGAAACTTCGGGACAAGCGGAAGACTCCTGCGTTCTTATCCAATTTGGGCAAGGCAACCTTAAGAGGCATCCGGAAGTGCCCTCAGTGCGGTGTTTACAACGGCACTCGTGGTCTCAGCTGCAAGAACAAGGCCTGTGGAACAATATTCAGGGATGGGGACCACGAGACGGGACGTTTGAAGAAAGGGGTGTCTGAAGTGGTTCGAGTTGTGACGGACAGCGAAGGTGGTAGAGCTGGAGGGCCGCAGGTATTCTCTGTGCGTCAGCGGGGACGTGGCTCTGAACAGCGAGGCTTCGTTGAGTTAGTCCTCACGGATACAGCCATTACTACCGCAGATGGAACCTTGCTGACCCGTGTCAACCTTGGTCGCTGTTTCATGCCCTCTTGCCAGGAAAATGAAAGCGAGTCAACAGTTGAAGGTTCCCATCAGCAAGTGTCGCAAACATCCAAAAGTCCCTGTACCCATGTGAAGCAAGCAATGGAGTGTCAGACCCAAGCAACACCTCTGCCACTCAAGAGTTCTGTGCTGGAGGCCCTGGTGGCCAGTCCCCAGGTTAAGGAAGAGTTGTGGAGGCTGGCTACAGAGACACCGGGACCCTTAGTGCAGAGGGTCTCCAAAGGTACCCTAATAGTGAAGTGCCAGCCAGGTGAAGCCCACCCTCTGGGACTGTTGCATTTGACTGTTGGCTTATCTAGTGGTAAAGAGAAGACTGAGGGTGTTGCTCCCTTTCGCTGTGCATGCTCCGCACCCAATGCCAAGGGGGATTTGGAGGCAAGAAGCGGGAGTCACCCTAATGTCAAAGAACGAGAAAATTCCCATGAGCACAGTTTACCTGAACATTGCCTGCACTTCTATGCCTGCGTTTGTGCCTTCACGAGTGATGAGAAGCTTGCCACTGAGTTTTCAGCTTTCCTCAACTACAACATGAATGGTAAGTCAACCATTTAGCTCAGGGGTCTCCTGCAATCCTTTCTGCAAGAGTTTAGCTTCAACCTGCTCCTACACACTTGCCTCAAAGTTTCTAGTAATTCTAAGGGGACGTTAATACGTTTTTTTGTGTGTGTACAGATGACAATATTGTCAAAACAAGCCCTGTTCACACGTACTTGCATGCCAGGCCAGTAGTTGGCGAGGTGACTTTGTAGATAAAAACTATATGACGTCACGGTTTTTACAAATTTGCATTTTTGTAGTTTACACAAAGATGAAAATGTTATCAATTACAAAAACTTGCACTTTGAAACCTGTTTTCAAAAGTTTGCAATTTCTGGCCCACGAAATCAGGGATCAGGGAGTCGGCCATTTCAAGAGCTGTTTCAATTGCAATATCCTTATAATGCTCTGGGATTGTCATTCCCCCCAAAAATCCCACAATGCACTTAATGGAAAACTTACCTAGCCTTGTAATGCTTATAATATGAAGCTATACTTGTAAATATAAAGATAGATTATATAGCTCTGACTGATTTTAAAATGTAATGTTGCCCTCCCCTAAAATGAGGCATAACATAGACATTACCTGAGCAGTTGAGTTAAAGTCTCTAGAGTTCAAATCATTTTATCCCTTAACTCATCTTTGATCACCAAAATTACATATTTAAACGTTTTTTCCTCCAAAAAAAAAAAAAATTTTGTCTTAAAATAGCTTGAATGTAACTACACCTTTGCTTCATTTAGAGTACATGGTTCTATGAATATGCAAATTAGCCCTGCCTCCACGAGCTCAGAGATCCACTCGTTGACGATCACGTTTACGTTATTGGTTACAAGGTAGTTTGTGACATCAGAAACACCAACGATTTCAACGATTTTGTCTTTGGTTCACTGCTGTATTAAAGGGATACTCCACCCAAAATTAAAATTCTGTCATCATTTACTCACCCTCGAGTTGTTGCAAACCTGTGTGAGTTTCTTTCTTCTGTTGATCACAAAGGAAGATATTTTGAAGAACGATTGGAACCAAACAGTTGTTTGGTACTATTGACTTCCATGGTGGAAAAAAATATATATTATGGAAGTCAGTGGTGCCAAAGTTCCAATCGTTCGTGCACATATAGGCTAACATGCATTACAATGTAGACCTACTTATTTTGTTGTAAAGCATTATACAACACCTCTGACCCCCTGAAATTCCCTGATGTCACCTGAAATGGAGCCATCAGTGTCCCAATGTGTATTGAGCCAGGTTATAACCTAATTCGAGTACACAGTATACTGATTCATGACCTAGTATGCTGATTGACACACACCCCTTGATTCAGGTGTGTTACTTTGAGGAGGATTTGCGTTCAACTCTGCTGGATTGATGGTGGCCCTCCAGGAGCAGGATTGAATACCCCTGATTTAGGTTGTCTGCATCTCCACCCACATAAGCTCTATTCTGAAAAACATAGCGCAGTGGTTCTTAATTCTAGATCTGGCGAACCACCCACGACATGTCTCTCTTATCTCTAACACGCCTAATCATTAGATCATCAATAGTGATATGACGTTCGAAGCTTGTGTGTGTGTGTGTATATATATATATATATACACATACTTTTATTGTCTTTTGACAAAAAATGACTGGATCTTCTGGGACGTAAAGGCAGCTTTTCTAC